AAGGTGAATGCCTCAGCCAGCAGGTGACAGAGCCAGTGGTCCCCTCACATCTGGTCTGGCTCTGTTTTCTGCTGCTTACAGAAACACAGGCATTAGCTGCTTACACACTTGAAGTTAGCTAACCTTTCTGAAACAAGCCTTGAATGAGCAATTTTCAGGATGGCAATTGTTTCTCAACAGCTAAGGCTTTCTACTCAGTCCAAATGCAGCAGCACTCAGATTCTGATCTGGATGATCAGCTAACATGAAGCACCAAATATGTTTGTCTATATTCTCAAGTCCCTACAGTCATGATATAACCAATGTTTTCAAGTACTGTTATAATGCTATCAGAGTAAATAAGGAAAGGGGAACACATCTCCCCATGGCAGGGAGTTGGAACTAGATGTCCCTTCCAACCCAAAACTTTGTATTATTCTACAGTTTCATGAAATTTTCACAATTTTACCTTTATAAATGCAAATTTATTTTATAAAGGCAAGTAATACAGTAAAATATATAATTGTCAATTAGCTGTTTTTAGAAAATGAAATATGAAAGAGATATATAGGGATATTATAGTGTATATTTATATAGAATATCAATATATATTAGTATATATAGGGTAGATTAATACTGATTTATGCTATTATGTGTTAGTTTACAAAATACACTTTTATATAATTATTTATGAGTACTTAAAACTAGTAAATGCTAATGTTGATGTAAAACACAGAAAGTTACGCCTTCAGCTCTGCAAATTCCAACAGATTCTACCCACAACACAAAGCTTATCCACAGCCTAACTATTTTTATGGTGCAACATTTTTTACTTCACCTTAAATTAAGCACCATGATTGTAACTTAGAAAGAAAAACAGAAATAAAAAGGCTATTGAAGTATTGTGTGAGTGAGTTAACAGTATTGTAACAACTCCGGCTTCTGGAATTTCCTGAGTTTTGAGTGCCTGACTTTATGACTTGGTACTGCACCAAAACTAAAAATTTCTTTATAAAGAAAAGAGGGAACAAAACCCAGCGTATTTTCTTTGGTATTTTTCTACATGCTTTTGACTTCCTCAGTATGTCTTATAAATTGCCTAAGCACAACCTTACACCTCTTTGTCTAACATTGGCTAAACAGAGAGATAATAAGGAGGCCTCAGCAAACAATAATCTGTCATACATCACATTGCAGAGCACAGTGTGCTCCAGCTAGCCAGACCCACTACTTTTCACCTACTTTCCATCTGCTGCTCACTCTAATCCTCATGCATTAGGGCATGCCAATCTGCTCTCTAAATCTTAGTAGCTCCTTGCTCCCATAAAATTCAGAATTAAGTAAAAAATGCCTTTAAAAATGTAATATGCAAAAGTGGATATATGGCTCTGTGAATGTGGACAAGGAATTTATACTTGCTGTACTTACCTTTGTATTCACTCTTGCCTCTTGTCTGTTTAGACATAAGCTTTCCACTGCAAGAGCTCTGTGCACACTGCTGATTAATGCTAAAGCACTAAGGCTATGTCAAAGTTGGTGCACAGTCTACAGGTGTCATAATCTCCTGAAACTCAAACCCTACCAGCTGTCTACTGGATCGATCCTAGCAGCTTCCCTGGCTTTCAAGATACTGAGAGGCAATGCACACAAGCCCCATGTACTCTTATTTATTTCTCTGCTTAACAAGGAAGGAGGCCCAATACAGACTCCTACAGTGCAAGAAAAAAAAAAGAAGGGTTTAGTTTATGGCCAGACTAACACACATTTATTTAATAGGGCACACCATTTCATCTCACCAAGGATAGTGTCAGTGTGGACACAGATTATGTGTTTGTCATGCACTTTACAGAAAGGAGCCTCAGCTGCTGCAGCTCAGCAATGAATCAGGAACACACTCAGAAGCAAAATAGGGTTGGATTTTTTTTTATGGATTAATTAGTACATAAAGTACAAAACCTGCTTCCCCTCCTGCCCTCCTTATTCTTTTTACTCTTTTTTTTTCACTTTATCAAATAGCTTCTGTTGGACCTCATACACATATATCTCAGACAGACGACCTAAGAAAACATCATTGTTACTGCTGTCTCCACATACATGCAAGGCAACCTTTAAACTGGTTTAAAAGGTGTTCAAAGGCTTCTCCCCTTGAATAGCATCAGGGGCCTTGCAGCAATACTGTGTAATCCTTAAATGTGCTTTGTTTTACTAACACAGAAGATATAAACCAGACTTGAAAGTGGTCTTAGAATTTACATTTATTGTGCAGGTCCCACATAAAGATATGAAATATTTCTGACGCATGATATGAGAGCAAATAGTAAATGGAAACTAGAATATTGCTTCTGTAACCAATGGAAATAGTGTACAGAGCTACCAGAAAGAAAATAAGCCAGGCTGAAAAGAAACTTTACAAGCACAAAAGCTATCCTGCACAAAGAGCCAAATGCAGCATATGTGCTTCTAAATCTCATCCTATTTTGAGGAATTTAATCATGGATAAGCCTTTTGCTGCCACCTGTACAAGAAATCAATGTACAGAGTACTTCAGGGCAGTGAAAATAAGTAGGATACCAAAGAGGTGAACCAACAAACGAATCAAATCAGGGATCCAAACTTTTCCGCAGTAAAAGTTTTATCCACACTCATTCCTGCAGATGACAAGTTTAATTGCTGTTCAGCAACATTTTCATGTGAAATATTATTTCAACTTTGGCCTCTCATTTACCCAGTATAGAAACTACACAAGCATAAGTGGCAGGTGTCAGAAAACAAACCTATGGTAGGAGCATGAAGTTGTTTCCAAAGCTCTGGAGAGACTGCTGGTGTGATGAGGGTGCTCACAACCCTGTTATCTTGAGATCACAAACTTTTTCCTCTGTAAAAAGTAGTGTTTTCCTGCCTCAGAGGCATGCCAGAGCAGAGTCCTGGAGGACCACTGACATCTGGTGGTCACTTCACTCTAAAGAAGGCTGAGTCATATATATTTAATTTTACTGTGGCTTGATCAAATTACATTTACAGGTGGTCTGACAGAAATACATGCCAGAGAAGCATTAAGTTACAGGTTTTAGTCTGTGTTTATTAACTTAGTGGAATTTGATAGCTACAAGTAAATGCAGATGAACTGAAACACACAAACTCAGTTAAAGCTGCCAGTACATTAAAAGTACTGTTGGATTAAACTCACTCTAAAGATAACAAAGCTTTTCTAAATAGAACACATTTAATTCAGCAAGTTCTTGAGAACCACTAGATCATGAAATAGAATTATATAAAACCGTCTTTTTGACAAATAAAAAAGCACATTGTTTCCTAGGTAAGATGTTTCTTATTACTGAAAAGGAGTCATAAGATCTAGGTTTACTTTTGCTAGACAATTAGCACAATATTAAATAATAAGCAGGAGTACCCAATAATTTTATTCATATTGATATTAGATGTCAGATGGTGAGACAGCACAGACAGAAACTGCCTCAGTTCTCTCCAGACAGCTTGAGATGATCTTCTTGACACCAAAATGCAATTGTGCAGAGAGACCACAGCCACCAGGATTGGACTTAAAATGCACTTAGACCTGTTAGATGGTAGGCAAACACTTAAAGCTATGCTTTGTTTGTTGCAGCTATGTACAACTTGTAAACAAAATTCTGAGGCTTTCAAACATTCATCAACCGTACAAAAGTCTTACTAAACTGTCATGAGAATTTTCAGCCCTTCCCAAACCCTTTTTTTCCTGCAAAATGATTAAAAGTCTATTTTCAGGTAAATGTACATTTCTTATTGAAATGGGAGTTCAGTTCAAAACTAATAAAACTCATAGCACGTGTTGAGTATTAGGAAGTAACCAAAATGTTTTTCTACACCTTTCCTCCATGCTACAAGAGTGCAGTTTTGCAAAAAATCAGCAGTATGAATCGTCTCCAAACTTACAGTATTTTTCACTTACCATCAACACGACCCCTACCCATAAGTAAACAGATTGCTAAATTACAGCCTTACCTTCAATCTAGGCTATCTAACCAGACTGATAAATAGTGAACTATTTTTACTTATACAAAAAGGCATTGCTCTGCATGTGTTTTCTAGTCGGCTGTGGCACTTGTGGGCAAGCATTTGATAGAGACGTGCAATTGCTAATGCTGCCAAGAAATGTGCAAAAAATAGTCAGTGCTCAGGGTGAAACAGGAAAGGGTACACAGGACACTCATATGGAGGCAACTGTATCAAGCCATCCCAATGAAAGCAGCAAATGTGCACCAAGATAGTTTGATTTGATCCTGCCAGAGTTTGCAGCTGAGCCCAAAAGGCTTTCGAATGGCAAGTGTCAGGTGTTTCACTCCCATTTGTATTTCAGGAAAATTCTAGTATCTGTTTTCCAGTGATGCCTCTGGAGCATTTTACTTGTGTGGTACAAAAATCACTGATGTTCTTACCTATTTCAGGTCTTTCCTGTACTGCTGATGAACATCCAGTGATTTAAGTGGCTCCACAAGATTACTTTTTAACACATTCCTAAGGGTCCAACTGCAAATTAACAGAATAATCAGTACAGAGAAACTTTCTCCTGCACACAACAGGCACAATGTTCCAATTAAATCTTACTCTGAGCATTTAAAGTAAGAGCTATTTTCAGTATTTTAACAATGTTGGTTTCTGCACAATAATGCATTTCATCTACAGTGAAAAGCTGTCACATTGCTGCATATCTATTAAATAAAAGCATTTTAATTAGGTCAGCTACTGGGTAAAGAAGATAATAACCACTTTAATAAAGCACTGTCACAATTATAGGCCCTTGGCTGAAAAGAAAGTCTCTTCTTTTCTTTGTCATCAACCCCCAATATATATTTTTGAAAAATATCTCAGCATTGCCAACCCAATTATACAGCAGCCAGAGATGATTACTCTATGATAATGTTCTAATTCACAGATATAATCATTCTTCTACGTTTATATTTTATTAAAGATATTTTCCTGAGGGGTCGAGATGCCCTCCACCCACCACCAGGGACAGACAAGGTCTAAAAATAATTTTGCCTGGTTCTAATCGATAGCACCGCGTTGGCAAATCTCTTCCGAAGAAACAGGAAAGCAAGATAACCCAGCCCTGCCAGCATGCTGACCAGCAGGGTGGTGCCAAGAACCCTGGGAGCCCTTTTCTTGGCCACACGGAACGCTGTTGGCAGGACAGCAGAGATTAATATATTGTTGACGTGTCCCAAAACTTTGTAAAACGCTTTTCTCTTCACGACGCGCTCATAATAAGCTTCCAAGTTGGGCCGCTTTCCATTTCCCCAGTTTCTTCTTGCTAATCCCAGAAACTTCAGGCGATGTAATGTGACAGCAAGTGACACGTCTGCCAGACTGAAGAAATCACCACAGAGCCAAGGCTGATTTCCATCTTCTAAGCAGAGATAAAGCATAAAGCATTAGGAACGAATGGAATATAAGCACATTTAGTTTAGTGCTTCTCCAAAGCACCGTCTAATAAAGAGCAACAACACTAGCTAAAATATGACTTTAATCAATGAACATTTTACTAATCCCTGTCCACTCTTTGCACAATATTGTAAAGTCTTAGCCTCAGCAGCCTGCCCTACATTTCTTAAGGAAAAAAAGATCCACATTCCAGGTTCATAAATTAAAACCCACAGTAAACACTTATTTTCCTCAACTACATTTCTCAAATCTGGATTAAATTAAACAGGATTGGAAAGGAGAAAGGCAGTTTAGCTTTTACTGAAAAGCTACCACTTGTCTGAAGAATTTATCATCTTTCCTGTGTCACTCAGCTTTATGGCATTCACTCAAGAACTAACTTGAGCTAATTTGCTGGAGGCTTTCAAGTCAAAAAGAAATGGATCAGATGACTGACTTGCACGAAACATATCAGCCCAGTGAGATGACAGAATTTTTTTACCTGTCCCTCTTTGTTTCTCTTAGATCCCAAATCATGGGGGCTTTACACTGAGGTGTTTGAGAAGTGACAAATATTCATACTGCTCACCACTAGCCAGGAGCACAGATGGAGACCCCAGATAGCCTCTCCAAAGGAAAGAGGAGAATCTTCCTGGGATGGCTCAGAGCAGGCACTGCCAGGCAGCCTCACACTTCACTGTCAGTGATCTGAACCACCACCACCACCTGAAAGGGCTGACATGTACTGACTATACCAAGAGCTTTTGAAACCCAGGATATGAAACTTGATAGCCACCACAGCTATCATAGCTGCCAGAATAAGTACTCTGTTCTAGCCTAGATCTTAAATAGGGAGGACGATGATGTTCCTATCTCATTTGTAAGTTTTGCAGTTCGTCCCACACAGCAGGAATGCAAATATGCTGGCACGAACACTCAGCAGCATCTCTCTGGTAACAGAGAAATTTTGCAATCTCCTTTCCAAGACATTTTCTACCAAAGAAAAGCAACAGCTTGGCACAAAGCTGGTACCAGTCCATTTTGACTGGTTATGCAGGTCTGGAAGAAATGCCTCTGTAGAAAAGCAATATATCCTAGGTTGCTGAAAGGACACCTGGGAATTCATCTAGTGCATTAAATAAGATGATGGAAAAGACCAAAGAATCTATCCTTCATGAAAGAAAGATGCCTGCAGTGGCAGCAGTAGTAGTTGAGGGATTCAAGCAGATGCAAGAGAAACAGGAGCTCTGAGTTTGACCAGGACCTGGAGAAGTACAGATCACAAACCTCCAAAATGGGAATACCTCAGACAAAATTCCAAGAGGCAATAGCACCATGTTTTACAAAATCCTGTGATCCCACCAGTTTTCATAAACTCATCAATACTGTATCAGTTGACTCCTTGGAAAGGCTACTTAGCAGAGAAAGGAAAGGGGTTGCTTGAAATGGTGGCAGACATAGTTTTCTGAAAAAAATCCTTCCATCTTTTATGACTTAAAATGTTTTCTGTGACTCTTCCACTGTTGAGTCAGCAGAAAATGTAATCTAGATTTTCAACTGCTGGTTCAAACCTACATTTGTGATAGTAACCAGTAATTATTACAACAGCTATTTATACAGCTAAAAGCAAAAAGTTATTGATTTGAGCAGATGCAGTTGATATTGACTGATGCTTCATGCAGTTCCCAGTGAAGTCAGGGGAAGGACTCCTATTAGCACCACTAAGAGTTGAACCACGCTGTGAGTAAGCAGAAGGCTAATCCCATTTGAACAGAATTTAGGATGCTGGCATGGTTAAGTGCCTGTAGGTATAGATCAGGGGAAGGTCAGCATTCACGTCCTTGCAGGAATGTGTTACAGACCTGCTAGCCACCATGAAGAGGCAGATGATTCTACAGGAGGGTGGTAGAAGTATCTCAATTTCCAGCCTTTGCACTTGTGGGGGATTTCAGCCTGCCACATGCCTGCTGAAAATACAACACAGTGGAGAGGAAGCAGTCTAGGGGTTTCCTGGAGTGTGTGGAAGAAAACTTACTCTCAACTGGAGAAGGACTCATGGGCGATGTGGTGGTCAGTGGCCATCTTGGGCACAGCCACCATGAAATGATGGAGTTTTCAGTTCTGGGTGAAGTAAGGAGAGGCACTGGCAAAACTGTCACCTTGGACAGGTACCTTCTGCCAGGTACAATTTGGACTGCTTAGGAGATTGATTGACAGAGTTCCTTGAGAGTAAGTCCTGAAAGGCAAAGCAGTACAGGAAGGATGGGCAATATTTAAGGAGGAATTCTTAAAGGTACAGGAACAGGTTGTCCCTGTAAGATGTCAGGGAAAAAGACCAGCCTGGTTAAACAGGGAAGTTAGGCTGGAACTCAGGGTTAAAAGGAGTGTGTCTCACCTCTGGAAGAAGAAGGGTTACTACAAGGATGTCATGAGGTTATGCAGGAGAAAATTAGAAAAAAAGCCAAACTGGAACTTAAATTGGACACTGCAGTTAAAGACAACAAAAAACAGTTTCAGTAAATACACTGGCAGCAAAAGGAGGGCTAAGGAGTCTTGATCCCTTGCTGGATGAAGAGGGAAACATAGTGGGGGATGAGGAAAAGGATGAAGTACTTAATGCCTTCTTTGCCTCAGTCTTTAACACCAAAACCCTTGGTCCTCAGAATATCCAGCTCCCAAAGCTGGAAGTTGGTGATGGGGAGCTGAGTGAAGCCCCTACAGCCCAGGAGAAAATGGTTAGTGACCTCTCATGCCAGTTAGACATCCACAACTCTATGGTCAAGATGGGATGTGCCCAAGAGGAAGACAGGAGCTGCCAAAAACTTGCCAATTATTTCAATCATTTACCAGCAATCCTGGTTAACCACAGAAGTCTCTGTTGCCTGGAAATTAGCAAATATAATACCCATCTACAAGAAGGGTCAGAAGGAGGAGCCAGGAAACTACAGACCTGCCATCCTGGCCTTGGTACCAGGAAACATCATGGAGCAGATTGTCCTGAGAGTCACTACATGGCATGTGCAGGACAACCAGGGGAACAGGTCCAGCCAGCATGAGTTTACAAAGGCAGGTCTTGTTTGGCCAACCTGACCTCTTTCCATGACCAGTGACTCGCTTACTGGATGAGGGGAAGGCTGTGGATATTATCTAGACATCTGTAAAGCTTGTGACCTGTCTCCCAGAGCACTCTCCTGGGTGAATGGGCTTGGGTGGGTACACATTCTTCACTGAGTGAAAAACTGTCTGGATGTCCAGGCCCAGGGAATGCTGGTGAGCAGACTTATATCCAGCTGGTGGCTGGGCACTAGTGGGGTTCCCCAGGGCTCAGTATTTGGAGCAGTCCTTTCTAACAGGATAAGAGGAAATGGCCTGAAGTTGCACCAGACGAGGTTCAGATTAGATATTAGAAATGTTTTTCACTGAAAAAATGGTCAGGCATTGGAATAAGTTGCCCAGAGCAGCACACAGCAGGATATGGTTTAGGCATGGTTATGATGGTGCTGGGTTGACAGTTGGACTAGATCATCTTGAAAGTCTCTTTCAACATTGATGATTCTGTGATTCTGTGAAAATTTTTATTTTCCTTTGGGGAGAGGCAGGTAAACAGGACTGCTTTCCAAGAGAGTGAGGGAAGGGGGTTGCCTAATGATTAGAGCAATTATTCAGATTACTTATTCTGTATATACCACAAATATCAGCAGAGTATCTGCACAAGATTATAATAAACCTGTGTTAAACATCAAGGTTGTGATCATTATAGTGAACTGAAGCCTACAACTATAAAATCAACATTCTGTAGTTTATTTTTTTCTGATTTTGTTGATAAAAGTACTAAAAAATTGTGCAGCTAATTATTTTGCAGCTCATTTTACTGAAAATGTGATCAAGCACTCTCATGAGACAGTGAGAACTCACTGACTGGAACAGTAAAGTAAGCTAGTATTTAAAACAGTCTGTGATATATAGATCAATGTATAGTAAAAGTATCAAATCTGACACATTAAAAATTGTTTTATAATTGTGCTGTCAACAAGTTTATTCAGTATCCTCAAAGAGAAATATCAACAGGATTTAGCAAGAAAAATTCCTTACCTGGTGTTTCCTCATTTCGCCGCTGCAATTCAGTCTCAACCTGATCCAAAACCTTTTCCAGTTCATCCAGTATTTTCTTTAGGTATTTTATATTATCATGATCCAGCAGTTTAGACTAAATAGACATACAGGTTAGTGTTTTAATCATTGCACAGAGTTTATACTTTTATCAGAGAAGCTTATACTTAGGATACTGCAGTGTTTGTTCATAAAATGTGATTATTTTCTCTACGTAGTCAGCTGGATGCTACATGGATACTGGTGACAATTCAGAAGGCAGAAGAAAACTTTAGAGATGCCAGATAGTGAGGTTTGCCTACTCCTGCAGGGTGCTCAACAGCCCCACACCAGCAATGATATGTACTTACCTTTGAAGTCAGTGGGACCAGTCCAGTACTTCAGCAAACACCTGAAGTGTGTAGCTGATCTGAGGACAGACTGTTTCATGCCCTGAAGGGTTAAGCCACTGCATGACATTACTGGTAATAACAGGTGAAACAAATGTTTATATTGTGACCAGAAAACTCTAACATTAACAAGCTCATAATAAAAAGGCCCGTGTAAAGGGGTTTCTTACCTTAAGGCGCTTCTGTTTTGCTATATAGGCATCTTGAAGATCTGGATTTTCTTCTGCAAGTTTCTTCAATTCTGATTCTGTGTTACTTATTTGGCCTGATTAAAAAAAGAATTTTAAAAAAAGACAAATATTAAATATATCCACATTCATAATGCAATCCACAGGAACTGATCAATCGCCTGTGTAAAATATCATATCAAAGAAATTAGAAGTGATGCTTCAGTACAGCATCTGCACCACATTAGGATTTAAATACTTCACATTTTGGAAAACTTAAATGCTTTTGAAATTGAACCACCACACCTTCAGCTCATCAGTTTGCAATGTGAAAGTGCTGGTAGGCCCACACTGAGATTTTTTGTCACTGTAGGTCATATGCATAATTTTACAACAAGAGCCTAAATGTCACTGAATATAGAGCCAAGGTGTTTTCATCTAACTAAAATGTGATGCCAAAGTCTGTGATCATTTTGGAAATGTTCTTTAAGAACTGTGTGCATCTCCTAGAAAAACATTCATTACATGATTTAAAGAAGTAATGATGTGAAAAGTTTAAGTTAATTTTACTGATTTCTACTGCAAGTGTGTAGTCTGTTCCTTAAAATGAGGCTTTGCTTGAAAATGCCATACTTATAAACCTAGAATACCAAAAGACAGTGATTTCTAAATCGTCTAAAAATAAGTATTTCTAATCATAAAATGAGAACAAAATAATCATAGAGCATGAATCACGTCTCAATTGTACTTGATAATGAAGTTTAGTTACAATGAAGTCTGGTAAATTAAACTGATAAAAATTCCTTCTAGAAAATACCAAACTCACTTTTTTATATATTCATTTCAACATGACTGTGAAAGCCATCCCTCAATATAGTGTATGAAGAAATTGAAGGATGTAGTCATATAACTAAAATCTTACATATGCAATTAATTACTTAATTGGATTTGGTATGAATAAACATAATACACAACTTGCTCATGCCTTATTATATGTAGCAGTCTGAAAAAAAGTGTTTCAAGCTGAAAACGAAAATATCCAGGAGGAGTTTGAACATGCAAAGGAAATGTTAAGAAACATCCACAGGCTTTTCAAAAAATGCTTGAAATAAAAAAATGTAGGCTATGCTTTAAGCATAAAAAGATAAGAAAACATCCAAATTTAGATGAGCAATAATGTCAGCTCTACCAGTATGAACATGTTCTCAGTGCAAACTGAGAACAATTTATACCAACTAGAAGCTAGAGCAGAAGAATACATATAGCAAAAAAAGCAGAAGACAATGTTGTAAAGTGAACTGTAATAAAAGCACTGATTATTACCATGTGAAAACAGAAAAACTATCCACAATGCCTATGAGTAAAGCACAATTGTTCAATGAACAGTTAGCATCCACACTTGGGGAAAACAAAAAAAAAAAAAAAAAAAAAAAAAAAACCAACAAAAACAAAACCAGCAAACCAGACAATGTACTGATGCAAGAGAATAATTCATGTTCTTGGACAAGGGGAAGTGGCTTTAAACAGAAGGAGGTAGATTTAGATTAGATATGAAGAAGAAACTCTTTCCTGTGAGGGTAGTGAGGACAGGAACAGACTGCCCAGAGAAGCTGTGGATTCCCTATCCCTGGAAGTGTCCAAGGCCAGGTTGGATGGGGCCTGGAACAGCCTGGTCTAGTAGAAGGTGTCCCTGCCTACAGCAGGGAAATTGAAACTGGATGATCTTTAAGATCCCTTCCAACCTAGGCCATTCTGTGATTCTATGATTTTATGATCCTATGATTCTATGTTACTTCAGTAACATCAAGCATGCAGCTATACAGAAAATTAACTGCTTGCTTTCACTTCTGACAACATAGCAGTGTGGCTAGTAAGAGAACTGACTTACCAAAAATTTTAAGGAGGAGGATAAGACATTTTGTTAGAAATACGCTTCTCAAACACAATATCACCTTTTATGATACCATGGACTTACTAAAAGTATAGTTGTATTGCATTTCAAAGACTCTGCAATACGTTTGTTCTACAGAGCATTCTAAAATACCATACAAAAAAAACCACTGACGTTGACAAAAAAAGCAGAGATCTCAGAATGTAATTGCAAACAGAGAATCATCATGCAGCCACGCTGTCAGGAGTTGATACTTGTCTTAGAACTACTTAGTACTTTCGTAATACATAGTAGGAAACATAAAGGCATCAATTAAAAGGTTGCCATGGTGCAAAAGTTATCTCCATAGACACCTCAAAAATAACATTTCCTCATTCCCATTTTCAAATCACAACAGAATACACCATCAATAAAATGCACAAATCATCACGGACTGCAGCTAAAATTCATAAACTGTGCTCAGTATTCTGTGTTTAAGGTGGATTTAAGAAAGAAGATGAATGTAATGCAGCAACCTACTAAGTTACAGACATTCAGAGCTACACCAGTACATACTACGGATTCTGCTGGTAGCATAGGCTGGAATCATGGAGTCCACTGTTAACTCAGGGTGCAGGATGCAGCCATGTGTGTAGGCATCCATAGGCAAGGAATCTAAAAGCTCTCTGTAGTGTTGCACCCTTGGATAATACATGCTTCCCTCTTCTGGCATTAATCTTGGTACTTCCTCTGCAGAACAAAGTTAAAAATAAAGTTAAGAAAAGACGAATCATCTAATTGACCAAAGTTCATTCAGTTATGTCCAGCTGGGACAGGTGACACAGCCACAGGTAAGAAAGCTTCACTTGCTCCCCAGTGTAACTCAACAGTGCGATTGCAGTTCACAGAAATGTATATTTGTAGCTCATTTTAAAATATTTTATAATTCCAATTCCTATGCAGCAACCCACATAAATGCATATTTAAGAGGCTTTCAAATCAGAAAACCACACTCAGTTCTGTTGCATACATCTAGGAATGGATGACCATGATATACAACTCTATAATGTTCTCAAAGTTGGGCACAGCTGAGATTTCCAGGAAATTGTTATGGCTGAAACATTTCTGCTCCTGCAGTGATGTAAAAATTACAGCACAGGAATCCTACACAAAGCATGACTGGAAGTATTCCTACACATCAATGAGTTTTACCCTACCCTCAATTTACCTGGGCCTCTGGGCCCTGGCTCCGTTTTTGACTAAAAGCACAAATTTTGTTCACTCAACAACGAAGTTTTCTTCATGCCTCAGCAATTGCAGCACTAAATCCCTGAAATACAAAATGCTTCCATCTTCACACCAATTCAAAATACAGCTCTGCATTTTCTTCAAAAATTGAGGCAGGTTTTTTTTGTTTGTTTTGGGATTTTTTCTTGTTTTAGTTTTTTTTTTTTTTTTTTTCGTTTTTTGTTGGTGTTTTGTTTGCTTTTGTTATTTTTTTAACAGTACAGGCACAAAGAACTTCAAAACCATGCACATGATCACTTCCAAGTCTTCTCTTCCTGCTCTTTTACTTCTTCATTCCATTTTGGCTCCAAAAATAATTTGCTCATTCTACTTTCATTGTTCGACAGAAAATTATTCTGAAATTAAGCATGTTTCTTCCTATCTCACAGGGAATCTGGATGGACCTGCTCGACAAAGGCAGTCATGCAGCCCTGTTCAGTGTGTTATTTTTCATGGCAGCCTCACACCAGGGTTAGTGCAGCACAGTGCTGCTGCCATTCCTGGTCTCTCCATCCCTCCAGGGCTGAGGAGGACAGTGGTAGCTTTTGCTTATAAAGGTTTACTCATGAAGGTGCTGGAACCCTTCAGTTCACTTTAGAGGAACATGTTTTCAACCCAAACTGCTAACTGCTGGGAGAGCCCGTTTACTTGTGAGACTGTAAACATTTTCTGCCCTGAATGAAGAGCTCTGCAGTGACACAGAGCTGCCCCAGCATCGCTACGGGGTGAGGGGAAGAACCACATACTGAAATGCCTGTGGGATTACCATCTACAAACGTCGCTTCAAGGTAATCAATGATCTGCGTTGCCTCACAAATGATGTTTTCCCCATGGATCAGGACGGGTACTTCTCCAGAGGAGCTCAAGCGCATGAACCACGGCTCGTTGTGCTCGCTCAGCGGCAGGTTCACATCGTGCTCCTCGCACTTCAGCGCCTTCTCGGCTATTGCCAGCCGCACCTGGAACGGCACCGCCAGGGTCACCCGGGCGGCATCCCCGCTCGGACAGCATCCACACCTGGGCATCATCCCTGCCCGGGCAGCATCCCCGCCCGGGCAGCATCCCCCCCCCCGGGCAGCATCCCCGCCTGGCCGCTCTCCCGGCCCCGCCTCGGCGCACCCACAGCCGCTCCCCTCCATTCCCCATCACTACATCCTTCATCCCTCTATCCCGCATCCCTCATTCCCTATCTCTCATCCCCCTATCCCTCCATCCCTCCATCCCCCATCTCTACATCCCCCATCTCTCCATCCCTCCATCCCCCATCTCTCCATCCCCCATCCCTCCCTCCCTCATCCCTCCATCCCTGCCGCCCCGGTGCCGCCGCGGGCGCGCAGGGGCAGTGGGCAGGGCGGCAGGGGCGATCCGTGGCCCCGCGCCCCACCCACCCCTCACCTTCTGCGAGGAGAAGGACTGTGTCCAGTGGTACAGCACCAGCGGCGCCATGCCCGGCTCGGCTCGGCTCGGCCCGGCCCGGCCCGGCTGGGCCTGCTCGGCCCGCGGCGCCGGGCGGGGCAGGAGGCAGCGCGGAGCCGACCCGCTCTCGGAAATTACCCGAAGGGGATGCCCGGGGGACGCGGGGGACACCCCCGTGTTCCCCCCACCCTCACTGCTCGGAGGACTGCCCTTCCGAAGGGGAAGCCGCCTGCAAAGCCGTCTGCAGCATCCCCTAGGGAAGCGCAGGAAGATGGATGCGCAACTAGGGAAGGTCACATGGCAGGATTTAGCTTTTTATATTTATTTCGTTTTTGGTTTTGTTTTTTAACCGGTGCTTCCACTATGAATTTCAGGGACATCAGCAACACGAGCTTGGGCCAAAAAAAAAAAAAATTACTTTAAGTCATCCTGAATTGGACCCTGTGGGCATAGATCCTCTATTGCAAAATAGTCATGGCAAGAAGGAACAAAGCTTTCAAATAACTTCTTTTGCCTCCATTTGTGTTCTTTCAATCTCAAAAGATAAAGCTTCTTAATTTTCTTAAATTTCTTATTTTTTCCTAGACAAAATTAGAAAATCTAAGAGTTTTGAAGGGCTTTTTTTCATTTTTCCTGTGTTAAGCAAGGTCCTTTCTGAAAAGCATTTGATAATGAACAGTGGCATTTGATAATGAACAATCATCAGGAAATGCCTCCTCTGTATCTTACACTGGAGATAGTTTAGATGATGCAATTGCTGATAGTACATGAAACACTATCAGAAACAGCAGGCAGATTTTATCAAAGTAAAAAAATACAGTGAGATTACAGAGTCCAGAGTATTGTTCTCTTCATTCTGGCTGCTCCATTCCCAGCAAAGGCAACTACTTCAGGTAAGCCTGATAACTCAGTCCCATGTGTCATTTCTGTATAACAGATGAACCCCATGATCAGCCTCCTAAAGACCTGAACCTAGAATGTTGAGAGCTGTATCTCAAGAACATTTAAAGGAAATTTTGACTAATGTCAAGCAAGGGAATGGATTTAAGTTACTGAGACAAGGAAGCGGACAAATCTTATAAATAAAAAGGAAAGAAACAAAAAGCCAGCTTCCAGCCCTGTACTTGTCATGGGAGTGGGCACAAAGGCAGCCCCATGCCTTCCTCAGACACCAGTCCCTGCCACAGCCACAAGCCAAAATAATCTCTTCAGGAGGCCATGCATGATGACAGGCTTCTCACAAATCTCAGCTGATGGCAATCAGTGTATAGTGATGGTAAATCCCGCATTTGGGGGAATTTAACTGTTATTCTTCAAAAAGTTGGAGAATGTGCTTAGAACTGACAACAAGAATGCAGTTGGTGGCATTATGGCTGGATTTACTTCTCTTTAAGATACATGTCTACGGTAAGAGTGCTGGAATATTCGCTCATGCACAAGGGCTTTAACCTGTAACCACCAATACAAGACTATTCTCATAGGTCCCTGTCTAGGCTGATGCACAGGTGGTCCTCACAGCTAGATCGTACAGTAACTCAAGGGAAAGAACTAGGAACTGTTTTTTTTTAAATTTGCATGAATTAGGTGCTCTTTCGGGTTTCTGTTTAGCTTTTTTTCCTTAATTTTGCCTTTAAATCAAAATGTTGTCATTTCATCAATTACCACATAGACCACTACTCCGTTTCTCTTGGTACAGGTAAATAATTTAAAATCACACATGGACTTCTGTGTTTGAGTTATATTTTGTTGCCTCATTTAGATGGCTAAAAAGGCAAGGATATGTATCTACCTTATAACACAATAAAGAAAGAAGGACCAGTGAGAACAGTATTTCCTTCTTCAGACTGAGCAGCTGCAGTCATATACAGTTGTTTCTTCTTCCTAACCTGGTCATCCATATTGCTCTGAAATACAGGAAAGATATTGACTTACTGGAGCATGTCCAGAGGACCAGATGATTAGGGGGATGGAGCACCTCTCCTAATAGGAAAAGCTAGGATTGGGATCGTTCACCCCGGAAAAAAGAAGGCTTGCAGGTTACCAAATTGGGGCCTTCAGTACCTGAAGGGAGCCTACAGGAAAGATAGACTTTTTACAAGAGCAGGTAGTGACAGGACAAGGGGGAATGGTTTCAGAATGAAAGAGAGTAGGTTTAGCTTAGATATTAGGAAGGGATTCTTTATTGTGAGGGTGGTGAGGAACTGGAACAGATCACCCAGAGGAGGTGTAGACTCCCCATCCCAAAACATGTTTAAGGCCAGATTGAAAGTGGCTCAGAGCAACCTGGTCTAGTGGAAGGTGCCCCGGCCCATTCAGGGCAGGGGTGTTGGAAGTGGATGATCTTTAAGCTCCCTTCCACCCTAGGCCATTCCATGATTCTCTGATGAATACCACCCCGGTGTCCACGCTTGTATTGCTGGTCCAGCTGCAGGCGGGAGTGTCTGCGGCTGGGATCCCTGCAGGGCTGTTCCCATGCTGGCCACACGAGGCCTCCCTTTTCCAAAATACGGTGCAGAGGACCTTCCTTCTTCCAGAGGTGAAGAAAAAGAGACGATTCCCTTCTCTTTGGGATGAACATCTATCCATCCATCTGTGTTTGCCCCTCTACCGTCTCATACTCACAGAAAAGCAAGCAAAAGGGCCAGGTTATGAAAAAGCTCACCACGTCCTGGAATACATTGTTCCTTGTTACACAGGGCTTTACACAACCAAAATAAAAGCCGCCTTAAAGGCATGTTTAAGTGCCATGAATACACAAACAGCACAAATGCAAATCTGATTGGCATCTTGGCATCTTGTGGCTTCAAGCAGACACCCAGCTCTGTGTGATAAATCATTTTTCCTACCACACTGATGTTCTTGCCCTGTTTCTCTACATGGCCTCTCTTGGGCCTTTTTTAGCTCCCTATACACGTTTACAAAAATATGTGTATACATGCATGCCCCTCTACAAGTTTTTTTTAATGCACATATTTTTCCATCACGGAAAGAAAATAAAATTTACAGCTAATGCTAAAAATGAAAAACGTTTTAAAATAAATTGGGTCAAAGATCTGGAAATCAGTATTCTGGTAATCAGTTTTCTTCTTTACTTCACCTTTCACTCCATGTTATTAACAAGAAACACATAGGTCAGATGTCTCATTAAAGTAATTGATGCAAGTTAAAAAAACACTTTTTTTTTCCTTATCAGATCAATTCATTGTGCATATTGAAACT